CTGGATCCACAGGTCTTCGTCTTGGTGAACCTTGATTCTCCTCCAACGTTCATCCTGGTATCCAGACTGGTCTACAGGAGTCCGAGCACCTTCATCCGCTTCCGCACGTGACCTCGTCACACCATCAATGCTTCAGTCGCGGTAGCTAAACACACTGGTATCCCGGCATCAAGAATATCCACTCCGAGTCTGACTTGGTCTGAACAAACCGCATCAGTCGCAGAGGTGCTTGGGATTTCTGAAGGCTTCATGACCTTTTCAGGGATTCTGGATACGAGACGTAAATGCACTATTTCGTCGGGGTTATCGAGCTCCCAGGATTCTCCAAGCACGAGAGTCTTAGAGGTCAGGTAGTCGGCCGCTTGGTTAAACTCACGTTTAACATGAATCAACTTCACCGACACAACATTCTTCCTGAGATCCTCATACTCAGCTAGACGTCGTTGCAAGTTAGGTTGGTTGCAATTAATCAGACCCTGAGCCTGTTGGACGACGATTCGGGAATCACCGACTGCCACAAGCTCCTTGACATCATTCTTCATAGCGAGCTTTAATCCCAGAATCAAACCATGGTATTCAGCATTATTGACCGTCACACCTTCAAGGATGTGTCCTTCAGCTTTCACAATCTGCCACCCTGGCAGTTTCCACAGTATGCATCCACAACTTCCTCGGCGAGTACAAACCTTCGCAGCACCATCAAAACTCAGAACGTAGCCTTGGTAATCTGCTTCCAACATTTCCAGACTCACTGGTGGCATCACTTTCAGACGTCCTTCGGCGGGAATCAGAGTCTCTGCCACTTTATCTAAATGTTCCCTGGGAGTAATACCAGACCCAAGGATGGCCGCGAGGCCGTCCTCATCTTTCTGAGTCCGATGGATTCCCAGCGTCCATCTTGATAGTTTCAACCCCCACTTCAGATGTCGCCCATCTGCAGTGTTGGACCCTAGTAACCACTTTAACACCGAGTAGCGCGTATACACCACAACTGGGAATTCTGATCCATGGATCGGAGGTCTGAAAACTTCCAGAGTCCCCAAGATTGCGAGCACTTCCTTCTCAGCTATATGATAACGTAGCTCTGATTCCTTCAACACTCTGCCAGTAAATCGCACGGGGTGTATGAGTCCCTCATGCTCCTGACCCAAAACCGCACACGCCGCCCACGGGTTAGCATGCGGAATGATCACGAAAGGCTTATTTCTGTCTGGATGTCACAGCAGCGGGGTTGACACGATCTTACGTTTCAGTATCTCGAAAGACTCCTTTGCGGCTTCCATATTCCCTCCAGCACGTACACGTTCTTCGTCTAGTTCATAGAGCACAGCGGCAACTACTGGTAAGTCTTCGATAAACTTATTGTAGTAGTTAAGGCTTCCTAAGAAGGACTGCACTCCCTTATACGTCGACGGGAACGGTAGATCCTCTATGCCTTTGACAATCTTCGGCAAGGCCCTGATTCCGTCCGCACTCACTTCATGAGAGAGGAATGGGATGGTCAACTTTCCGAATTCGCTTTTCGGTAAGCTCACAGAGATATTCCAGTATCGTAGTCTGTACAACAACGCGTCCAGGTCCTCACATAGTTGGTCCCAGGTTGACGCCCCATGAGCGACATGCTTCCAGTTCACGCAATGCGACCTCCAATTCCCCATGGCTCTTGCCCTGCTGCACCTGGGCGCGGTGCAAAACCGTTGCCAGCAAGGCATTAGCCATAGCGCTCCTTGGGTCCGCAGCGGCTGGGAGGTTCTGAAGGGGCTCCAGCGTCACAAGCTGGTCCAGAGTGATGCGGAGCGCATTCAGAGTATTCAGAACCCGACGACCAAAACCGAAGCTCCGAACGCGTCGATGAGTGGACCAGCTTGGAGCTCCGCCGCCCGCGCGCGCTGACCGGGGGTCATGGCCGCAGGAGCACCTTGGAGGTGCATTGGGGCGGGGATGTCCGTAGCGGTGCGGCCGTCCCCAACAACCAGCCGCGAGAGCGCATCGAGTTGGGCAGCCGAGAGGGAGGAGATCCGAGTAGCCACGTGAACCAAACCCCCGATGTCACGCATCTGCAAGCCCTCGGGGTTTCCAGACGCAACGATCCGCACGTCCTCAGCCGACGCCGGGAGGTAGGCGAAAGGGGGAGCAAGTGTCACCGGTCCCAGAGTAGTCTCCACGTCCACTTCAGCTGTGTCACCCGTGGGGGAGCGAAATCCTCGAGGGGTGAAATCCCAAGCTCTCATCCACTTCGGACCCAGTGTGTTGTCGAGAGACGATCTCCACAGCCGAGCGATAGGTTCCCGCAGTCGGTGGATACTGAGGTCGTAGGAGGGCTTCACGGAGGCACCGCTCAGCCTCTGAAAGAGGTGGCAACATGCCCCCAGACCCATTGCCCACTTCGACCAACGCGCGAGCCTCTTCCATCTGAGCGTTAGTGGTGTCGGGAGCCGAACCCAGTAGAAGACTCCGGGAAGTCGTTGGCGGAGGCTGTCGTTCCGGCCTGCCGGAGTCCCAGAAGCGCGGGGAGTCGGGGCCGACGGCGCGGTTTGAGTCATGACGAAGGCGCTTGAGTAGTTGACGGAAAATTACGAAGTGCGCCGACCCGAATCGGTGAGGAGGCCTGGGACCCGGCGGAAGAGCGTTGCAAGGGGGGATGCCGAGGTACAACTCGGGGATTGATGGATACCGATCCCAGACCGGTACCGACCCAGAGGTCTAGTAGCGAAAACGGACGAGTACCGGTTACGGAACCGTGACCGAGGAATACCAGTACTTTCCGGACCTCCCGAGAAGAAGCTGACGAGTACCGGTTGTCAAAGTCTGCAACCGAGGAATACCAGTATAGGTCGAGTCGTCCCCGATTCCAAGGTCCCGGAGCTGATGGGTACCGGTCTGGGGGACGATGATGGGACCCAGACTGAGGAATGCCAGCGTGACAAGAGACGTCGTTCGGAGGCACTATCCCAGCTGCTGAATTTCGGGCACCTCAGGAGAGCTTTCGGCGTTCGTCGTTCAGCATGGGGCGTTTGTAACATAGTGTCCCGGGTTTTTCCTCGGAACCAACTTTAAGTTCCTGACCGCTGGTCCCCAAGAGCCCCCGAGTCCCCGAGCCAAGGAGACTTGGGCCCCCAACATCCAGGTCCGGGGACGCAATATTGACGAAGATACGACCTCAGAAGTATCCCCAAGTCGGACCATAGTGAAACCTAGTGGTTTAGCAGATCCTAGGATTACCATATGTTTAAGTGTCGCGCTGACTGTATACCAGCAGCCGACACTAAATTCAGTCTCACTTTTCCCTCCAAGCGCACAGAGCTCGATTCCTCGGAATCCCAAGCTCCACAAGACTGCAGGAAGAGCACACGGTTCGGGGACCCGTGTTCGGAGACTGTTCCCCAGGTAAACATATATCACATTTGCCGGGGGTTCCCAAGGTAACACCAGGCATTCCATATATGTCCATCCCGGAGCTCGGTCTTGCCGGCACGGAGCAAGCACTTCATACTCTAAGGGTCTCACCCATTGTTGACGGCTGTCGCCGGTGGAGTCTCTCTCCGAAAGACACAGAGTGTATACTTAAGTTGCGTATTAAGCCCGTCCCGAACTCAGGTAGTGTCCCCGGACGATTGTGTGTTTAACTACCTATCTGGCGTACTCTACAAAATCGGGACCTTCCTGGAAGTCCTCAGTGGTTGACTTTTCCCTGATCCAAACAACCGTTTCGAAGAGGGTACACAAGGTGAGGTTATTGACCGAGTTCCGGGGTCTTACTATCCCATAGTAAATTCTCGGAGCTCTTACTATCCCATAGTAACTTCTCCAAGCTCACGGCCCCGGATAAATCCCCCGTTCGGGAGGAGCCGTCTATCCACAGGGAACTTTGTTCCTGCATTCCAACTCTGATCCAACTAGTGCGTCACAATCACCGCTTGCGTTCGGGCTCGGGACCAAAAGTTCCAATCGCTACGTCACATAAGGCCTCGGAGGATTGGCTCAAGGGACCACAGTGTGTCGTCAATTACCGGAGTTTATTAACACCCCAACGTAGGTAAGAGAATGCAATGTCTCAGCTGTGGAAACATTGGCCACAAAATGGCGCGTACACAGAGAAGCAGGTAAATAGACAAAGAAGTCGGAAGGCGACAGACGTTGATATAGCTGGATTAGAAGATGTATCAAAACCCTTTGCTACCAGTGCTGAAATGAAAGAAAGTGCAACGCAACGTTTGCAAGTCCAGGAAACAGAGGTTCAACATACTCAAGAAGCAGTAAAACGTGTAATTCCTCGCAGTAAGCAGCAGTTGCTTAATAGACCGAAATTAGCAAACGCAGAGGCAGAGCTCAAGCAAACTGCGAGTCAATGGATTCCTGGATACGAACAGAAGTATCATGCGCCAAGCTGGGAGAGGGTGAAACCGAAGCGACAGCGTGAATAGGTCACCGTACCGCTAGGGGGAAGCAAACTACACGGGCATTCAAATGCACTACAGCAGAGGAAGATGAAGATAGCATCTTGATTTACAGAGCTAGCTGATGAGTCAGAACTAGAAGACAAAGAAGACATTACAGAAGAAAAGCAGAAATCTAAAATGGAGGTCATGGAAATCTCATCAAATTCGTCGCAAAGCGAGCAGAAGAAGGATGCAATTTCGCTAAGCTACATCTAGTAGCTAGGAAGCCGAAAGAAACATTGTCCATCCCGGTTCTGCTCAGACAGAAGTAACGAGAGTGTGGTGAAGTGCGAATAAGATCTTGCGATAAAGACAACCTCGCCTGCCAGATCGTGAGATAGAGACGGGCCAGGCCACAGGAATCCCACTCAGGCCTGGACATCGGGTCACCTGCCCAAGATCCAGCGTCCGACAACACCGGTGAGTGATGTTGACTTCGGATGACCTAATATTGACCCCTGGAGTGATGGATGTCGACATACCCACAACGTGCCCCAGTCCGAGACATCCCGGTCCAGGGGAAGGTGATGGACACGGACCACTGACGACCCACGATCCGGGGCCGTGGCATGTCAACAGACAGAGATCGAGGGAGAAGGGCGGCCCCGGAGTTAAGCTGGTCAACGATCAAGAGACGCGAGTAAGCGACGATCCAAGGCCAAGGCAAGGCTACGATCCGGAATCGTAGCAGGGAAGCGGGCCGGGATCGTCGTGCGGCAGCAGCCGTAGGTGACGGGCGAACGGCGACTATAAGGATCACCACGCGACGACGATCGGAGAAGCCGGCCGAGGTAGTGGTCGGGGAGATAGCTCAAGATCACGATCGCGATCGCCATTCAAGATCACGATCGCGATCGCCACTCAAGATCGCGAACGGCAGATCACAGGATCAGGTAGGTATACATATGTCAGGTGATCGTAAGATAGCAGCTGTGGATGGGTTAGTAGATATAGGGATAAACGTAAACAGACTCGAATTTGCTCTAAGCTACACAAGTGTCTTCCCGCGTCTGGAATCGGGGATTAGTTTGGCCTCTCAAGCGCGCGGACGGTAAGGACGTAGGATCTAGCGTAGCGTTTAAGCCTGGCTAATATATTGGCCAGCTTTGTCCTACCTAGTGACTTGTCCTCAAGTGTTAACTACTGATCGGAAGGCATTGATTGCTTGGCCTGAAGATCGAGTCGGATCTCAACCCAACAAGTTCCCCGCTGTAGGAAACGGCAAGCATATATAAGGAAGGAGCAAGATCTCCGGCATTGGACCCCCTAAAGACCTGGATCGACAACCAAGCAGCTCGATCGCGACTCAAGGACTCGTCTGCGACCAAGATCGACCAAAACGAGGTAGAGCGAAGCCGTTCCGCGCTATCTCAAGCCCCTGCGTTCCACCCTTTCCGGATATACATCGAACGAGTCACTCAGGAGAGCGTAACCCGCCCGCCGTCGGGTACACAAGGTGAGCAAGAACACCACCAGATCACGGATTATCGGAGGACCTTCTTCGTTAGTCGTGTCCGGGCTCCAGTGGTATTGGGAACCGCGACAACGAGGTTTTCACGGATTCACAGTATCGAGCGAGAAATGAGGATGTCCAGAAAGGAGATGCCGCAAACACCTTTGGTGGTATGTGATACATTTTAAGCGATCTCAAGTGCTTCTTGCTACAGCATCGTGGCAGAGACCAGCACTCCATCTCGACGCAATGCTAGGATCCAGTCTAGGAGGTCGAGCTCTGCATCATCACTGAGAGGCTCAGCCGAACCCAGCTCCCTGAAGCGCTTCATCTTGGCGGTGCGAGTGCTGGTTGGCATTGAGTAGATGCGGGTGCGGCCCATCTTCCAGCGTAATACCGCTCGTTTTTCGTAGCGTAGGCGGGGCTGCGTACAGCTATTGTTGGCCAAAAGACCGCGACAACGTTGGACATGGAATGCGTGTCGTATAGTGAAAGAACCGCAGCTTTGACCCCAAAGGTTTCAGAAATATCTTGTATTTGTTCTGCTTCCTGTGTTTTCCCTTCACGGACACACGTCCACGCATTGTGGACCAAGAGGGGGTTTTCTGGGCTGATGTGACTTTCTTTGGCTGAGGTTTAATACCGCATAACACATGTCATAGAGCACATCCCAAGTACATTAGGGTTGGTGGTTCAGTTGTGAAGACGAGAAGGGCCAAGAGCATAATCATTATGAAATTGTATTGTACGATGTATCTTTACAGAT